GTCCGCGCCGCCTGTGGGTCAGAGAGTGGCCCCCTCAGGGCTAGCCTCCCCGCGACGCCCCGGTACCCGACGACCTCAGCCCGAGCTTCTCCGGCTCGCCCAGCGTCCCCAAACCGACCCGAGCGGCTGTGCCTGCGCAGCGTGGAGGCTGCGCTGGGAAGTTTCCGGGCCTGCTGAGCCGAGCAGCCACCTGACCCGATCTTCCAGGCTCCGGGAACCGCTTGACTTCATTGCTCCCTTCCCTCAACCCCAGGGGTACTGAGGGACACCCCGGGAGGGCACCCGATGCTTACCCGCCGGATCCAGGGATCCAGTCAGTAGAGCTCCCAGGAGCACCAGTGTCTCGGGTCTTGCGTGGAGCATGCTGAGCTGCAGCCTGGGGAATGGGAGGTGGTATGTGAGGGACAAAAAGCTGGCGTCCCCAAAGCCTACAGCCGGCACAGAAGGAGGAGGCATCAGCTGTTTTCACTTCTGGGGCGAAGCTTTTAGAAGCCTTACCAAAAACCCGCACCGGCACGCTGCTCTTTGGGGCGGACGGCGGACGTGGCAGCCCTCACCTCCCCACCTGGGGAACGGCTTCTCCTAGAAAGCAGGAAAGCAGGGAAGGGAAAGGGGCTAGTAAGCTGGAGGCCAGGACATGCAGCGCCTCATCCTCCGAAATGAATGAATGTGCATGGACTGGAGGAATGGGAAGATCAAGCCCCAAGCCCCGGTCCAACCTCTGGTTTAGAGCCCCCGTGGGGGATCAGAAGTCTTTCTTCCTCTTGGAATCTTTGCTTTTTTGCTCTGCTTCCTGCCTCCACCACCCCATTCCCACAGCCACTCACCAGCTCAGCCTCCCGGCTGCGCTCTCGCCAGCGCTCTGGCTCCTCTGAGGCACGGTGCGCGCGTGTCCACTCTGGCTAGACCGGTTACAGGTGTGACCGGGCTAGACTCTGCGCTCACCCTCTGCTGAGGAGGCAGGTCTCCTCTCATTTGCATAGCGACCGCCTCCTCTACTTTGCATGATCTCTTCCCGGACGGATCCCACTTCCAAGCCCCGACGCTGCTTGGCACGCTGCCCGTGCAGCTATAAAAGGAGTCAGGGTCCCGAGCGACTTGCAAACGCAGAGCAAACCGCAGAGCTGCAAAGGGAACTGTGAGAAATAATTCCGTTTTCCCGCTGCCCGATTCCTCCCGGGCCAACCCCGAGCGCTCGAGGGCTGTGCTTCCTAGCCCAGGGGCGCAGACTTGACCAACCCCTTGGGTCTTGCCTTAGCACGCCAGAGGCGGAGTGAAGAGAAGTGGAACTCAAGCTTCAACCCCACGGACGCGCTCTCCCAGCTCCAGCAGGCTCCGCTCCCGGCTTTCCCGCCCGACAACGCACAGCGCTCGGCCTCCTTACAGCATGACGCTCTGGGATGGCGAGCTGCCTTTCTACCCCCAGCCCCGGCACCCCGCTGGCTTCAGCGTCCCGCTGCTCATTGTCATTCTGGTGTTCCTGACCTTGGCTGCCAGCTTCTTGCTCATCTTGCCCGGGATTCGTGGCCATTCGGTAAGGGGGTGCTAGAAGCTGGGGTCTGGGGATGTTGTGGGCAGCTTGTTTCGGGAGGACCCAGGACAGATTAAGACTGCAGCGAGGACTTCCATGGAAGAGTCAGACAAGCATAGATGGGGCAGACCCAGAAGCCTAGCGCAGCACGCACCCCTTTCCAAGGACAGGAAGAGGTCTCATTCTAGACATCCTAGAGCAGCGGTTCTCAACCTGTGGGTCGCGACCCCTTTGGGGGTCGAACGACCCTTTCACAGGGGTCTCCTAAGACCATCCTGCATATCAGATATTTACATTACGATTCATAACAGTAGCAACATTACAGTTATGAAGTAGCAATGAAAATAATTGTATGGTTGGGTCACAACGTGAGGAACAGTATTTAAAGCGCCAGACGGTTGAGAACCACTGTTAGAGCCTGGCCCAGTGGGTCATTCAGGAGGCTGCTGTGAAGAGCAGGTACCCACCTGGGGCCCATTCTAGTTTGTGTGCTGGCTTGGCTCCTTGCCTCTCCCCCTACTGCAGCTCCATTTCCCCCACTCCCATTCACTCCTCCCCAGGACAGAAACTAGCTGCTCAGAATGCTGTTTCACTTGTGTGCTGGGTTGAGACACGTGTACATGGATTCAGACACTTCCCCACAGAATCCAAAGCTGTAGCCGCCTGGAGACTTGCCCTGAGGCTCCCGTCCCTCTCCAAGAACCTACGTTGTTTTTCAAGTCTCTCTCGGAAGACTTAGCCTTCCTGGGTCTTGTCCTGCACTAGTTTCCTGGGAAACCAAGGAATGCCTGAGAGGTGGTGTTCATACCTCTCCTACTTGGTCACCAAACCCAGGGCCTCCTTCTCTTGGGGGAGGTGCCCCCTCCCTGCCTAGCACTTCTAGACTCACTGAGCCTTTCCAT